CCCCCCCTTTCTCGCTCTCTCCACCTCCCTCCCTACCTTCCACTCTCCCTAAAAATCAGTGGGAAAATATATCCTCAGGCGAGGATTAACAACAACAAAAAAGAATAATTTTACTTATAGGTTGCTTCAATTATAGCAATCCATAGACATTATCTAGAAATTACTTTTGTTTAATTCAGTCTTTTCTGGTCTTTTTAAATGATACATTTTCTTCTTTATACTCTTGTTGCTTCCCTTTCCTCTCTTTTCACTGCCATTCTTCACCTTGCTGTATAGCCTTGTCATCACTGTTTCTTTCGTGCTGCCCCAGCCATAGTTTTTCTGTATCTTACCACCATGTTTTGTTTGTTTTGCATTTTTTCCATCACATGACAGAAGTGGTTCTCCAGGACAGGCCATAAATTAACTACTCCTTTCTGAACTTCATATGTTCAATTCATAAAGCTCTTTTTGAAAAACCTTAGTGCGTGAACAGAGTAGTTTGTTGAAACTTGAAGTGAAGACTAGCTCGAATAATTAAATGTAATGAGCAGATACTTGTGTCAGGCACTGTGCTAGGCCCTGGACTTACAGAATCCCTGCCGTCCAGGAGCTCCTCACCAACTGGGAGCCAGCTGAGCAAACCAGTAGTAATACTAAGGCAAAGAGACCAAAGAAAGCAGAAATATGAAAATGTCTTAATTTTGCCTAGGGGCAAAAGTCACATTTTTTTCAATAAGAGATTAAATTGTAGGTATATTATTAAAATATTAAAATAATAGGTAAAGTATAACATTTAGTAAAAATACAGTAACTATTAATTATTTGACTAAAACAAACGGCATTAAGTTCTCCCTAACTAGCTCTTGATTTTCTTTTTTATTCCCAAAAAGCTTTACTCTCTCTCACCTACAGTGGTTTGAAAATGTTACAGTCTCATGTTTGCCCCCCCTCCCCCCAGCCTCCTCATAAGCTGTTTCTTGCCCTCTGTTAATTCCTAACATTTGCTTTCTCCCTGCAGCACCCAGTTTAGCTAGTGCCCCAGTTAAAACGGATCTGACAGGCATCCCCTTCAGGCTCTCACTTGAATTCCCTAATCTTTCAGAATGGAAACCATGACAGGTACTTCTTTGTCTGTAAAAATCTATAATTCTGAATCTGCACAATTATGGTTTTTTAACCCAAGAAATTACAAACTCACCTAACTCATTTTCACTCCACTGCATCGCTACTCCTTTGCACTGAGGTATTTCTCCTCTCCACCTCTAGGAGCTGGGCACTTTTTACAATCTGCTTATTTAAAAAAAAAACCCAAAAACTTATTTTTAAACAAACAGCATTTTTCCTCTTTTTCAAATGTTTTAAAACACAGTTTAACTGTATCCTAATACTTACACAGTAGTTGCTTACCATTACCACAACTGCTGTGCCTTCTTTAGTTCTCCCCATCTCAGGGTCCCCATTCCTCTAAGCTTCCCAGCCTGTAAAAGCCCATTTTATATGAATGTGATTAACTTACCCCTGCGTTCAGGTTCTACTTTTTCTTTTAGTGCTTCTTCGGTCTGCTGACTGGTCAACCAATTGTATTCCCCTAGATTTCCTCTGCTGTTTTTTGCGGTCTTTATCATCATTGTGTTCATATTCCATATTCTTTAAGGAATCAGTTGACTAAATGCTACAGTTCATCTGGTTTTAGACTTAATGATTGTTCTTTTTCAATAATTTTATCAAGAAATTTTCTTGATATGGTATGATTAAAGAATAACGTCAAAATAAATGTTTCAAAGAGGTAAGCAGTTTCCAGCTCTCCTCTTTTAATCTTGGGTAAAGTCTTCGAGGTATTGAGGAAATTATATTACAATCTCTAGTTTTAAAATACTGTATGTGCAAAATGTAGAGTCACTGGCTTGGTATAGTTATTGTTGGACTCTAGAAAGTATTTACAAGGTGTAAATCTCATAGGTACCTTAAAAATGTGTTGGGATATTTAGCTTGAGTTAAGAAGAGCACTTTGTTGTTCTCCTAGATGTTGTTTGTGTCTTTATCCAGATAGTTAGCTTTTCCTGGGGGTGGGAGCCAAGTCTCACGCTATGGTGAGAATAGATAAGGCCGCAGCCATCCACTGCTCCTGGAGAACAGGACTTCCACATGCTTCTGTCGGGTCAGGTGGGTCTGCGTGATAGCCCACGAGCACAGGAGCTCCTGCCTGCTAGTGGCCAAATGACACCTGTTTTACATTTAGAGATGCTTAGCTTTTGACTGTGACTTAAGTAAAACAAGTATTTTTTTTTCTTGTTTCAAATTCATCAAAGTTAGCCTTATGGAGCTTGATACAAGTTCTTTATTGGCTATACTTCAAACTATTGGTAATTTGACAAATTGGAATTATTCTAAACCTTCACTTTTAAAAATTCAATCTTAGCCTTTTAGTAAAGGCTAAGATTGACTAAATGGATAAACATCTGCTTATGAGGTTTAAGAAAATACCATTTTTAAGTCATAACTACTTTATTTCCTTTCTGATAGAGACAGAGTACATGCCACATCCTGAAAGAGCAGCTACACTTTATTCTTTTATTTGATTATAGAAGCGGGGCTTTGGGGCATCTTGTTCTCCATGGCATGCTTGCTTTTTGAGGGTCTAATCCCTGAAAAGGATACTGTGTTAGAAGTTGCTTTAAAGCTGGGACAGTCTTCAGGAATGAGTAAATGGGTAGAAGAACTCAGGTACCATAAATTGAGGGAATAAACAACTTGCTTGTTTAAAACTACTGTGATTTCAGACTGTCCTGCAAGCTTTTTTTGTGTGTCACATTCTATTGCATCATTAGAGATTGGGCCATTTGCCGTTGCTGTTTCCTTATCAAGCCCAAGAAAAGGAATATTTTCCATAAGCTAGTCTTTTCAGCATTTGATTCTATATCTGCACTTGAATTTTGAATTTTCCCCATTGAATCTATGGCTTTTATTTAAATCAAGGCTGTTATAAGGACATCTTTTCTTGTTATTGTCAGTTATCTAAGTATCAGTGAAGCATTAACATTCTTCAAAAAGTTAAATAACATTGTGATGAAAGGAAATTATTGGTAAATAATTATTTTAACTTGATTTCTTAAAGGAAATTTAAAGGTTCACATTGTTTGTTGAAAGATATACCTAATTATTAAATATTATAACTAAGTAGAAAAAAATTCTATCATTTAAATTTGTAAGCGTGTTTTAAGAAGCAGTTTGGCTTTTAAGGTTTCCTTCGAGTTCTCAGAAACTAACCTTGAAAATAAACCTTTACCAATGTGCCCCAGAAAACTATTAGACATTCCCTTATATTAGTTTTCTGGGGCACATAGGTAAAGGTTTCTTATAGCCCTGGCTGGCTTGGCTCAGTGATTAAGCACCCGCCCTTGGACTGAAGGGTCCCGGTTCGATTCTGGCCAAGGGCACGTACCTCAGTTGCAGGCTCAATCCCCAGCCCCGGTTAGCACATGAGCAGGAGGCAACCAATCAGTGTGTCTCTCACATCAATGTTTCTCTCTCTCTCTCTCTCTCTCTCTCTCTCTCCCCCCTTCCCCTCCCCCCTTTTCCCTCCTCCCTCCCTCCCTCCCTTCCACTCTCCCTGAAAAGCAATGGAAAAGATATCCTTGGGTGAGGATAAATAAATAAATAAAAATAATAGGCATTGTACCTACAATAAACCTAATATGCTCTTTCTTAACTCTTTGTATCCATTTTATGTGATTTTTCACTGGAATCTGAGGTAAACTCGTATTCCAAGTTGTTTTCTTTTTTTTTTTCCAGATAATGGATTCATACCTGATTCACTTCTAGAAGATGTGATGAAAGCGTTGGACCTTGTTTCAGATCCTGAATAGTAAGTAAATAGGAAGCGTTATTTAACCAACTTAAATATTCCATTTAATTTAAAACATACACATTTTTGCATTTTTAAAAAATCTAAATCTGCATATATGAAGCATGGAACTTTATATAAAGCAAAGATCTAGGAATAAATCAGACTAATCAGTGTTAAAGCAGAAATTTGACACACTGAAAATGAGCTTTCCTTCCCACTGTGCACTTACTGTCCTACTGAAAATCGTGGTAAAAATAAACAAACTAAGTATGTCTTTTTCTCACTGTGAAACCTTTTCTATTAAAAAAAATATATATGCCCATATCTTTAGTAGCTTCAGTGAAAGTAGTGACAGGTTTGTATAATGTCTGTATTGCTAGTCGTTGAACATTTCTATGTGATTAAATTAACTGAGCTGAAACCTAGTAAGAGACCCAGAATATCACAGAATATAGTTTTTCAATACTGAAAGTATTGAAGTACTTACTAACATTAATATTGTGTCACTGTCTTCAGTCTCACTGTTCTATTTGTACATGTGTTACATCTATCACTTCTTTCATAAATTTGGGATCTTTATTATGCATGAGACAATCTCTCCTAAGTGGATACATATATTGATCAAATGTGGAAATAAAATAAAAATCACCTATGATGTACCCTAACTTTTGTTTTATCTGCACGAGTTTTTTCCTTCTGAAATTTTTTTTGACAGTGAACAAACTTTAGCTTACAAAACATTTAAGGAAAGGATTCAGCAAGAACAACGGAAAATATATTGATACACATAGTTTTTAAAACTTGATCTCATTCTGTTTTTAAATAAATCAGGTTTTCTTTGAAAGTATGAAATGCATGTATACATTTACAAACTAATCACATCAGAATTAATATCTCTGAGTCTTCCTACTTACAGCTGTGATGTTACCCATTCTTAACAGACATAATTGCTGTTTCCAACTTAAAGAGGAGAAATTCAAAGAGAATGAACTAGTCCAGTAAATGGAATAATAGTAATTAATGTATTTCCTCTAAACTGATTTCCAAGTGGAGATCCTGTTGTTTTCATTGCCCTAATTTGCAAAAGAGAATTGAACTCAGGTACTTTTGGTTACTGACAATTCTTATGACAGGAAGGAGGAAAAAGGAAAAGTGATTCCCCCCCCCCAAATTCTTACATAGAGTATTTAATTTTTCTTGTTTCATCAGAATATATAACATTTTTGAATTATAAAGTTAGTACAATTTAGTTAGACTCTTCTTCTAGAAGTAGCTAAAAGATTAGACTCAGTTATTCACTCTGTACTTTGGTCTAGTTTATAATACGTGATGGCCCATAAATTAACAGGGCTAAATTTAGGATTAATAAATTAGATGTATTATATATAATGTGACCTTGCTTTCATTTGTTTCATGTCATAACCTCCTGCCCTTACTCAGACCCTTTAAAATGTCACATCCTTTGCATGTTTAATAATAATGCATACTTTACTTGGCATTTATAGTTTGGGAGATAACATGGTGAATGAAAATTTTCTTTTCCGAAAGTTTTCGTTTTTAAAACCCATCAAACTGCATTCTGCTTTTCTCTCTGCCTTCTTTCTAGTCACACATAACACCTTTCACCAGCCTTGGCTATACCTTAATGGTAAGGGCTATGCAAAGCACTATTCAGTTTAGGCTGCTACTGGAACAATCAAGTACATACCATTTATTGTAACTCACTATACCTTAGCTCTTTGAGAATTATCCTACCTTTTTAAACTTCAAGTTACATTGCCTAAGAATTTTAAGCCTCCACCTCATTTGGTTCTGGAAACTAAGCTTTTTAGGAGATGTTTTTGATTATCTGATGCACCGCTTCCTTTTGACCCTATTTTTTTTTCTCCTTGAGCTTAAAATAAACATTTTTAAGTTAAATGCCTCATTTGATTGTTAAATTTAGGCATACCTATGAAGCAAAGAGAATTTGCCTTTGGGGGGTTATAAGCCTGTGTTTATAAGCCTAAGTTTTTAAATTACTTTACCTAATAAGGAACGATATTCCAAAGTCATCGTCATAATTTAAATTCTAAATAGTAACAGATTACTCTGGTTTAAAAATAACCAAGTTTTGGCAAATCAGATGTCATTCCTGTGTATTTGTCATTAAGAGGCTAAAAAGAACAGTTCTTAAGATTTTTGGCAGTCAAAGTGCTAGAGTACCAGTAATTTAATCATGAAAGAAGAAAAATAAGCTTTTTTTCCTTTGGTACCCACTGTTTTATTTTTTTCTCCCCACAGTATAAATCTCATGAAGAATAAATTAGATCCAGAAGGATTAGGAATCATACTATTGGGTCCATTTCTTCAAGAATTTTTTCCTGATCAGGTAACATGATTGAAGAAATGTATTGTTTTGTCCTATTGGGGTAATCATCTGTGATTGTTTTAGCACTTTTCTTATGCATTTAAAATCTTCTGACATGTAGATATGAGACTAAAAAAGCAGTATTACATAAATACTTTGCCATACAGAGAGGATTGAAAGGTATATATGTTCCAGTATAATAATACAGAACTTTGAGATAGAGGAGTGGTGGAAGATAGTGTATATGTACACGTAATGATACTGTTTTTAAAAAGAAAAGATAAAATTCAGAAGTATGGAAGTAAAAAGAGAAAAACTCTCTTTATCCACTCCTACCCTGATTTTCCTTCTCTGAGGTGACTAGTGTCAGTAGATTGGTATGTATCTTTTTAGAACTTTCTAAATACTAGAAAGAAGGTAAAGGAGCCTATATGTAGTGAGAGCACCTACTAGTGAACCTAAGTTTCACCTAAGTTTCAGGAGAATTTTAGGTGAGTCAAAAAGAAAAAGGTTTGAGTGTTGCTGTGGTGTTTCATGTTGGGATATGTCTTCCATTGGGCTCTGATAGCAGCTCAATGAATAAGAATCTATACTAATCTCAATACTCTTGAATTTCCTCATTTAAGTGGAGGACTTGCTATAAACCAGATTGTTTAGCTAGGTGCATTGTGGTCATTTTACCTGATATTAGCATAGTTTAAATTAAAGTTCATCGTTTTAATAGAAATGCCTATTTCTATCCCACCTCTATTAAAAAAGAAAGGTATTGTCAAGTAGAAAAATATCCAAAATTTATAAAGAACTCATACAACTTAACACCAAACAAACAAGTAATTCAATTTAAAAATGGGCAGAGGACCAAGAAGACTTACAAATGGCCAACAGATACCCTGAAAAGATGCTCAACTTCACTAGCTATTAACGGAAAGGCAATTCAAAACTACAATGAGAGACCACCTCACACTTGCTAGAATGGCTGTTATCAACAGGACAGGAAATAAGTGTTGGAGAGGGTGTGGAGAAAAGGAACCCTCATTCACTGCTGGTGGGAATGCAGACTGGTACAGACACTTTGGAAAACAGTATGGGGTTTCTTCAAAAAATGAAGATAGAGCTACCATATGATCCAGCAACCCCTCTTCTGGGTATCTATCCAAAAAAATTGAAAACATTTTTTCCAAAGATATATGCATCCCTGTGTTCATTGCAGCATTGTTCACAGTGGCCAAAACATGGAAACAAAGTGTCTTTCGATAGATGATTGAATAAAGAGGATGTGGGACATACATACTGTGGGATACTACTCAGCCATAAGAAAAGGTGAAATGCTGCCATTTGCGACAACATGGATGGACTTTGAGAATATCATGCTAAATGAAATAAGTCAGAAAAAAAGCTAAGAACCATATGATTTCACTCATATGTAGGATATAAAACCGAAATTCATAAACACAGACAACAGTATGCTGGTTACCAGAGGGAAGGGGTTTTGGGGGCTAGTAAAGCGTAAAGGGGGCCAAATATGTGGTGACGGAAGATGATCTGACTGGGTGGTGAGCACACAATGCAATATACAGATCATGTATCATAGGAAATGTACACTTGAAACCTATATAACCTTAATTAACCAGTGTTACTCCAATAAATTTAAATTTTTAAAAAAGAAAGGTAACATAGTGACAGAAAGAAAATGTCAAGATAAAATTAATAAATTTCAAGACATAATTGTTAATTCGATGTCTCATATATAAATTATCTTTACCAGTAGACAATATTATTAACATTTAATCTTGGTAATTGAAAATTGAACCCATATTTTCTAAACTGGTATCTATCTGTTATGGTTACTTTGAGTAAAGAAAGTGAGTGAGGGAAAATTCAGAAAGTAACTAAGGATATCACAGTATGGCTATTAGACTTTTTAAATTTTTGGTAAATGCTTCATGAAAAAATAGATTCTTTTTTTCTGATATTGTTAGCAAGACTCTAGGATTGTGACATCATATTTGTTCATACTCCAACTGCTAGGTTTTTTTTTAAAAAGTTCTTTTTTGGAATCTAATACTGTGTTTTTCTATCTTAATAAATGTTTAATTTTAGCATTTTAAACTTTTTTGAGACAATAGTATTAATTTTACTTTTAATTTATTTCAAGGCTGCTGTCAGAACATTTTAGAGAAACACTGATTTCTTATAATTGTTATTGATATAAGGAAATAACGTTTGTGTTTAGTTTAATTTTGGGAAACTTTGGAAAATGGTCAGGAAATGTAAACAAAGTGAGATAGTTACCAACTATAATTATATTTAGTTAATTACATGATACTGCTTATAATTATTCTAAGAGTTTAATAGTTCAAGAAATCAGTTTTTTAATTTTAGTATTCCTTGAGGTAATTAAAGAGAATTCTGGGCCCCTTCTCTTTTACAGACGACAGACTTTTCCATTTGGCTATTCTGTTTGTTCTCTCCAAGTTCATGCCTTGCTGCTTGCTTATTTCCTGCTATTATTCTTCTGAAGAAACTCAGCATACCTGACTTATCTCATTGCCCCTGTGTAGTTCATGCTCTTTCCTCAACCAAAGCATGTGATTCTGCTCTTGGTTCCCTGTAGAGCAATGGGTTCTCAGAATGTGGTCTCTAAGAACTTGTTAGAAATGCAAATTCTCAGGTCCTCCCCAGACCTAATGAAGCAGAAGCTTTGCTGGTGTGGCCCAGCAGTGGATGTGAACAAGCCCTCCAGGGGATTCTGGTGTGATGGTGCCGAAGTTTGAGACCCACTGGACCTGTCGTTCTTGCCTATTTGCACCCTGTAAGAGCTCAGACCTCTCAGTGTCACAGAACTTTTCTGATCGTAGCTCATACCACTGATGTCCTCTTTCTCTGTAGTCAAAAAGTGTAAAATGACTCTACCCTTCATTTAGGCTGCTTTCTACCTAACAGACCACTGTAGTGACACTCTATAAACATTTAATCAACCGGGAAGGAGTACATTAAGTAAAGTTGCAAAAGTAGAGTCAGAAGGACAGCCAGGAAAATATTTAACTTCAGTAATCTTTACAAATACTTAAACCAGGTGCTATGGACGAACGTTTCTTTGCTATGAGGCAGAGGCGGGCACCAAACTTGAAATATTCATAAGCATTTCAAGACAATTTGTTTACAGTAAGAGTAGCAGCTACCATTATGCACGTACTATGCACCATGTGCCTCATAAATTAGGGACTATTTTTCCCCCCATTTTGGCAATGAGGAAACTTAAGATTAGAGAACTTAAGAAATTGCTTAAGGTTATACAGCTAGTAAGTGGCTGATTCAAAGTTCAATGTAGGTCATCTGACCCTAGAGACTAAGCACTTTCCTATTGTATTAAACTACTTTTTGCTATTTCAGTATTTTATGCCAGTTTTAAATTACTAGAACTAGAGAATATAAATTGTATTCAACCACAGTAAATATTTATATTGTAAGTTAAACTCTGAAAAGCAACAGCCAAGTTATTTATCTAAGTAACTAATTACATTGACACCTTTATACAATAAGTTGTTGATTTTTCTGTTTGTTATGAAGCATTTTGAGTAGGGTACAAAAAAGTTGTAAGAGCTTGGGTTTTAGTTGGGAAAGCAATGAAAGGTTTAAAAATTGAAAATTTGAATTATCTTTTAAAATAACCACTGAAGAGATGATACAAAGTAGTATATGATTCATTTCCAGGTTAATTTTTGAGAAAATTGTTGTTAAAAAGGTCCCAAATCATAAACAACCCAACTAGTGTGTTCAAGAAAAAGTTTACAGAAAAAGCAAGGCTTGAACCAGGTCTTGAAAATGAGAGGAGAGAGAAAGGCATTTGAGAGAGGGGTAAGAGCTATCATAAATATGCAGAGCCAACAACAAAAGGTCTTCATGGGAAAATGAGTAATATGTTCACCTAAGACAAGAGTTCAGAAAGGTGAGTAGTTGCAGATAAGACTAAAAAGGTAGATTAGGTCCTGCATTGTAGGAGTCTTGGTTGCAAATCACAGAGCCCCAGCCTGAATTGACTTAAGTGGGAGGGACAGATACGAATTGGAAGGAGTGCCTCAGAGGATTTGAAGAAGCGTCAGAGGCGGCACTAGGATCCTCTGGGGCAGTCCCTCCATCTTGTATCCTTCCTGTCTCCAGAGTAGTTACATTCTCTCAGCCTGTTTCTTTCAGTTGTCAGCAGCTCTCTTTCCTTAGTTCCAATTGGAAAAAAATCCTAAGGAGGGATGCTGGCCCAGTTAAGTCACATTCCCATCCTTGTATCAATCAGATGTGGCCAGGAAGACAAGGGGTAGGCACAGGAAGACATCCACAGGCCCGGAAGGAAATCATTGGAGCCGGGCACCTTCAGTGAGGCCAGACCATTAATGGCCTTGAGTGCTAGGTTAAGAGTTGAACTTGGTCTTCAGCCAAGAACCAAGGTTAAGACAGTAGGAATAACTTGATCAGTTTTTCTGAAAGTTTAGTATAAAGATTTATACAATAGCCTTTCTTTATTGAATGTTGTTTAAGTCTCTAACCACTAATTATGTTTTCATTTCTCACAATGCTATTTTCACTACTTAAAAGTTCACAATACTCAAATGATATTTTGGGGATGGAAACCCCTAATTCAATACTGGGGACCAAATTGGAAGTATTGGTGCATATATGTTTGTGGTCTCAGTAAAAGTAATATTCCTGTTCTTTCATACTTATTGAGAGAAACAAATTATATACAACCAGAAAAAAAATCAGAGATTTTAGGAAATATTTTTGTATTTTAGAGCCATGTTCTTTTAAAAAAATGTTCCAGTAACACATGCACATAGCTAAAAACATCAAATGGAGCAGTCCAGAAGAGCTAACAAAAACCAACACTTCTCCACTTTCCTGCCTCCTCCTAAGAAGCAACTATTTCAGCTTTTGGACTTTCTGGTAGTTAACTGCATAAGTCTAAGTTTCTTGCTTTATCAAAGGATTCCCTGATCAAAGGATGAGGATTTACTTTCAATTGTTAGTTAGAAATAGCCTGATATAAAGGTATAATTTAAAGTTTTAATGGTACTTTATTTCTAATAGGGCTCCAGTGGTCCCGAGTCGTTTACTGTCTACCACTACAATGGACTGAAGCAGTCAAATTATAACGAAAAGGTATGATAATTCATTCACATAGTGATTTGTCTTCACCTCGGTTGATAAAGTAAATATATGAATGTATGACAATGTTTGATTCTCACAAAATTGCTACCTAAGGATATTATTCCAAGAGTCTCTTTACTATTACAACATATTTTAGAACTGGTCATATTTTGACTTAACCAGTATATGATACTCTGAGATCTTTATTGGAATTTTAGAGTAATAGTTTCACTGTGACAAAATAACTACATCTGTATGCATGTTGTTACCCTTAGCTATGTGGATGTTACTATATCAACATTATAGTTTAGTCCAGTGAAAGTTACTGATCCATTCAAGCGAAGAAAGGGATAATAGATTTTTGACTGAGAAAAATATTGTTAAAGGATTTAAATTAATAACCATAATAGTTAGCACTTATTGAGCATTTATCTGAAACTGTATTAAGTACTTTGTTTTATCTGAAGTTTTCCTTCACCCTATGAAATAAATATGGTCTGTATACCCCCATTTTACAGAAGAGGAAACTGAAGCACAGAGAGGTAAGCAACTTGCTAAGGTCAAGCAGGCAGGAAATGGTAGAGCTGGGACAAACTTAGGTAGCCTACCTCAGAGCCTGCACTCTTGCGCACTGTGCTTTGCTGCTTTGTGAATGAATCATTGACAAAGGCACCAAGGTAACTTACTTCCCCTGTACTCACCTGGTTTAATCCCAAAGTTGGTCTCACTGATACACCCTTTTTGATTAAATATTAGTTTTGTCTACATATATGGTATATCTATTACGTTTGCATTTATTCAGGTAGCAATCACAGTAGATATATATAGCTAATATTAGAAGGAGTAATGCCTAACACGTTTTTCATTTGAAACAATCATGCTGGTTTCATAATTATCTAAATTGATGGTGGCTACAGAAAATAGATTGTAATGTACACTAAATACATTGCTAGTTAGAGCAAATCTAAAGCTGAGATTTATATTCCTAACAAAATATAAGTTAGACATTTTATTAAATTAGATCTAAAGATCATTTCACAGGAAGATAATTTATTGATATATACATAGCAAAATAATATAAATTTGATAAGAAGAAAACTTGGATGCTATTTCCTTATATGTGTTAATGAGTGCTTCATCTAGATTTTGAAATTTTACGTAGCCTTGTGATAGGAGGTAATTTAGAGTCACTAATTACTCACCTACACAGTCCCTACAAGGTAGGTCAGTCAAATATTATCCATATTTTACAGATGAGGCATCTGAGACAGGGAGATTAAGTGACTCACCCAGAGTCACACAGGAAGTCACTGGCAGAGCAGGGATTGGAACTGAGTTCCTGATTCCCAATCCTGTCCTTGATCACGCTACCTGTATATAGTAAGTTTTCATATCATGCTCATGGCAAGCGTCTGACATACTAACAAAAAGATCAGAAATCAAAGATGAACCATAAGTTGACAATAGTATATAAGAACTATAGAGCAAAGCATGTATGTCATTAAGTTGCAGAGGTATAATGTTATGAAGTTACTTAGGAGCTAGAAATATGGTAGACTACCTAGTAAGATACTATTTAAAATATCTGAGGAAACAAAGGGAGAAAGCTGGCCACGTGGGAGGGAGCATGATCCAGCAGCCGGCGCAGGCTGGCTCAGGCCGCAGAGGTAGGTCACAGTGCTTTGCCCAAGCAGCTCTGCTGGAATCAGAATTAAAAGTTTTTCTGATGCTCACCTGCCAGTTTATATTTGATGTGATCATTGCCACTGCATATAAAGTACCCAGTTAGTTTTATATATCAGCCTCTCTCTTTGATTTTTGTTTCTGTCCTGACATCCTTTTGAATTTTTTCTCCATGATTTTTCATGCAGCTGATTATAGTAACTTGAGTTGTATTCTTTGTAGACAACTTTTCAGAAAAGGAAGTTTTACTTGTTGGAGTTGAAAAACATGAGTTGTAGTTTTAAAGTAAATTTATTTCATCAAAACTAGAAACAAACTAATACATTAACTAAAATAAAGATGAAAGAATGTATTTCACTTTAAAGTATGTCTTTAGAGCTTCCCAAAAAAGGAGTAGATTCATGAAACCCAGTGATCTGATCTACTAATATAACATACTCTGTTCCTATATTTAATGTGTTTTTTAAGGAAACTCCCATTGAAGGGTAATGACGTGATTTCTTTTGGTTCCTTAGTCAAATAGCTTATGACTTTTATATTGGAAAAATGTAATTTCAGTCATGTGTATCAGCCACTGAATGTGTGAAAATAGGTATATGTACTTTGGAAGAAAGCAGTCTATATCTCTTTTAAATTATACAATCAGAATTTCTCTTGGACAAAAAGAAATTAATGACTAAATGGCTTACCGTACACAGTGAGCCCTTATAATAAGTTAGGATTTGAGTATTTCATAGATACTTCTAAAAGACTTTTACTGTAAATTAATCAGAATAAATATTTTTTCTGATACCTACCTGCCAATTTACATTTGATTTGATAATTTCCACTGCATATAAAAATACCTGGTTAGTTTTATATAACAACCTTTCTCTTTGATTTTGTTTCTGTCCTGATATCTTTTAAATTTTTTCTCTATGAGTTTTCATGTAGTACAAAGTACAGTCATGAGAAGCATTTCAGAAATATTTAATACAATAAATAGCAAATTGCATTGGCAAACTCCAAATGGCTTTTAGCTTTGGAAATTTATTACTTAAATTGAAAGGAGAAAATTAAATCTTTAGAATATATAGCTATATTTCTATTGTAGCTTTTCATTTTGTGAGGCAGCATGACCATCTGAGTGCCTCAATATTAAAACAGTAGGAACTGTATAAATTGTTATATAAATAATTTCTTCCAAGTGGTATATGTTATTTGAAGAATGATTTTTCTTTTATCAGAAACAATGTGCTTTCAGATTTTTAAATGCTTTTTCTTATCTTAAACTTATAATCTAAAAGTCAGCTGGTCACCTAGCAGTTAAATTTGTATCTCCATCCTGTTTCCAAATTTATTTTCACATTAATCAGTAAATAGATATTCTTGGTCATAATTTCTGTCATAATAAAATTTGATGTAAAGTTTCATATGAAACAATATACAGTGCCTTACTTGCTAGCCTATGAAAAATTTTGTATCCTTTATAAAAATTTGCTTTATAAAATTTGTTTTATCATGGTGGCTTTATTTTGTTCAACAGGTAATGTATGTAGAAGGGACTGCAGTTATTATGGGTTTTGAAGATCCCATGCTACAAACAGATGACACTCCTATTAAACGCTGTCTTCAAACCAAATGGCCATACATCGAATTACTCTGGACCACAGATCGCTCTCCTTCACTAAACTGATTTGCATAAGTATTTAAAAAGAAGATGGTAATAGCAGATGTTGAAAGAGAGATGCAAGACTGGCAATTGGCTATACACTGGTATCACTGACTAATTGTAAATAACACAAGAACACATTTTCAGTGTTTAAGATATGTTTAAATTATTTATGTTAAAGTTTACCCTATTTTAACTCTGTGTGAAATTTACTAGCAAAATTAAGCTTTAATCAAAGTTCACCACTTTTGCAGTCAGATAATTGGTCATTTATCAAATTACAAACATTGTTTAATACTATAGCATTTGTATATTGAGTATCAAAGTTACTATTTATAAACTTCTATTTTGGGATTTTATTTCATTCAGGCATATTTTATTGTTTAAATGATTCTGGCTTGCAATATATCAGCCATCACATTTAAATGCAGAAGAGTTACTTTTTATTTCTTTTTAAAAATCTGTTTCCCATTAGAAATACTAATAAATAACAAATTATCAACTTAGATCTTTTCACAATTGGCTTAGCTCTGGCATGTTTATAAAAAATAGAAACTATAAGGGAACATTACCATTTATTCACAGATATATAGAGAATGTATTTTTAAAAAGATAGTAAAGCGAATCTGTTTAATAGTCTTAACACTGTTAACTTTCACTGTATTGCCAAATACACTCTTCTATATTTGTCCCAACAGCCCAGTAAGCCAGGTTTTTTTGTAAATTTATAAGTATGATAAATGCATGAAAACATCTGTTATTACATTACTATATTGCATTATTTATTACAATCCTAGTGGATGACCTAAATAAACACTTCTTTTCTTTAAATGTACCCTTGCATTTTTTTTTTTTTTTTTTTTACAGTAGTGTCTCAGAATAAATAAATTCTTTTAAATGTTTCTCTCCAGTAACCCTGAGAGCGCAGCATAGAACAAATGCCTAGTGGACTCATATACCACCTTGAAAAGGAAAGCAAACCTTATAGTTACCTAAGAGCTGTGCAACTCACTTAGCTAGAAGCTCTAGAATCTGAGTAGCAGCTGTCTGGACCAGTGGACAAAAATATAGAAGCCTTATCCTGTTTATTTTAGAGAGAGATTTACTTTATTATGATAGATCTGTTGCCTAGCATGTTGAAAATTGAATGGCCAGAATACTTTCTTTCCATCACTTTCAAGGTAGACAGTTGTTCAGTACCTCTTAAGAATTTCAGGACTGAACTTCCTTCAACAGTATAGTTGAATATGTATTTCCTCCGTGAATCTCTGTTTGGATATTATTTATGCTTTAGTTATATAAACATTAGCAATTATAATAATTAAGTAGATTTTATAATAGGAAATAGTGGCACAAGATTTTATGTATAACTTTTGATAACATTATGTTTGAGAGTGTGATACTAGCTATTAGAATTACAGCTGTAAAGTGCCTAATTTTTTGGTTAATTTGACTACTTCTAAATGTATATGAAATATATTGTTCTAGAATTAATTCTCTTAACTCTGGTCCTAAATCCGTAAGGATTATGAAAAAGCATAGATTTTCTTATAGACATTGCGCCTAAAAAATAGCATTTTCTTCTTACTATTGTTGCAATAACAAACCATCCCCAAACTTCATGGCATAAAACAATCATTTTACAAGTTATGTGGCTCAGGAGTTTGAACAGAGCGCTGTGAGGATGGCTTGTCAGTTTCTCAATCTGGAGGCTCAGCTAAGAGACTGTGGAAGTATCTTTACTCACATAAGGGGCATGACTGGGACCTTGGCTTGATCTAATCTACCCTAAACAACTGTAGATATGTCTTATTTTCATGTGTGTGTGGGACACTTACCAAGATAGACTGACCATATGCCGGACCATAAAGCAGTCCAGAAAATCCCAAAAGATTATAAATTAAGCAGTGCATTTCTAAATAATGCAAGAGTCAAAGAAAAACTGAAATAGAAATTAGAACATACTTTCCATGATAAATGAAAATAGGACATAGCAAAAATTATGGGATGTAACTAAAGTAATGCTTAGAGAGAAATGTATGGCTTTAAATACAGAGTGTCCCCCCCCCCAAAACACACACACACACACACACACACACACTTTAACAGCTGATAGCTCAATTGATGTTTCTTTTCAGATTTAACACATTGTAATTAATATTCAAAGTGTGTATATATTTTTGGGGGACACCCTGTGTATATATATTAGAAAAGCAGTAAGTTTGGAAATTGGAAAATTAAGCTTTCATCTCAAACGCAAGAGATCCAAAGTAAATAAAGTAAATAATAAGATAAAAAGGAATGTATTCACAAGCAAAAGAATGAATTTGGACTTTTACCTCATACCATGTGCAAAAATTAACATAAAATTATCAGAGATCTAATTTTAAGAGCTAAAACTATAAAATTCGTGGAAGAAACATAGGAGTAAATCTTCACAACTGGATTAGGGAATGGTTTCTTGGAATTCCAAAAACACAACAACAAAGATAATTTGGACTTCAAAATTAAAATCTCAGTGTGTCAAAGGACATCATCAAGAAAGGCAGGTGACAACCTATAGAATGGGAGGAGATATTTGAAAAGCATGTATCTCATAAAGAATATGTAGATGTATAAGGAGAGTTCCTTATGTAAAACAAATATTTTTAAATGAATAAATGATTTGAAGAGATATTTCTCCCAAGATGATATATACAGATGACCAATAAACACAAGAAAAGATGTTCAACATAGTCATTAGTGAAGTGCATTTCAAAACCATTTCACACCCAATAGGATGTTCAAAATAAGAAAGACAATAACAAGTGTTGACAAAGATGTTGAGAAATTTGGACCCTCACCTCATTGGTAGGATGTAAAATGAAGTCACTTTAGAAAAGCAGTTGTGCAGTTCTGAAAAAAGTTCAATACAGAGTTAGCATATGATCCAGCAATTCCAGTCCTTGGTATAAACCCAAGAAAAGATGAAAACATATTCACACAAAAACTCTTATGTGAATATTCATAGTAGTGTTATTCATACTAGCCAAAAAATAGAAACATCCTTAGTGTCCATCAACTGATGAATTGATAAATGAATGTAGTATATACATAGAATGAACTGTTATTTGACAATAAAAATGAATGAGTTACTGATACATACTACAACATGGATGAACCTTGAAAACATACTAAGTTAAAGGAGCCTGTCACAAGATAAAACTCATTATATGATTTCATTTATGTTGAATGTCCAGAAATGGCAAACCATAGAGACAGGATTAGCAGTCACCATGGCCTGGGGTGGGGATGACGTGGAGGAACAAGATGGGGGAACAACTGCTAATATGTACGGAGTTTCCTCTTGGGGTGATAAAAATGTTCTAGAGTAGATAGTGGTGATGAATACACAATTTTTAATGTACAAAAAAACTACTGAACTGTGAGGAAAAGACAAAAGGAGAAGTCAGTGAAATAGAAAGCAGATGTATAACAGGGGAAAAAAGTAAGCAAAGCCAAAAGTTCTGAAAAAAACCCCTAATAAAATTAATAATATATTGAAAATATTGAAATAAAAAACCAGTAAGAATTCTATACCTGTAAAAAAGACTCATACAAGCAAAAGCCAAGGGAGTGCATCAGCAATAGACCTGCCATATAAGGAATGAGTGCTAAAGGGAGTTGTTTCTCTAACTGGAAGTTAGAGGATGCTAATTAACATTAGAAACACTTAAGGTGGCAAAAAAAGAAAAGAAAAAAAGACTGGTAATGGTAAATATATAGTAAAAGTTAGATTCTGTAATATGGTCACTGTACTGCATAATTACCTTACAACACTAGTTTAAAATTTTAAAAACAAACAGTAAAAATCGTAACTATAATAATTTGTTATTGGACACACAGTATAAAAAATATGCAAAGTGTAACATTGAAAACCTAAAATGTAAAGTGAAGCATGAGTAAGTTTAAAGTTTAGGAATGCTATCAAAGTTATCAATTCAAAATAGGGTGTTATAATTTTAAGATATTTTACCTCATGATAAATACAAGAGAAAAAAAGCTACTAATTTACCAAAAAATGTGATAAAGAAGTTAAAGCATACTGATAAAAAGACATCAAAACACAAAAAAAGTTAGGATAAGATACAAAGAACAAAGAAACTACAAAACAACTAGAAAACAAATTTTACAATGGCAAGAGTAAGTTCTTATCTAACAATTACTTTCAATGTAAACAGATTAAGTTCTCCAATCAAAAGACGTGGAAGTGCTGAATGATTAAAAGACAATATTCGATAATACATGCCCACAACACACTCACTTTAGCCTTGAAAACATACGTAGAGTAAAAGGATGGAAAACTTTATTTCCAGGACCACCAGTCAAGATGCCCGAGTAGGTAAACGCTGTGCAGGCTTCCTCCCACAACCACATCAAAAGTACAACTAAATTATAAAACAACCATCGCTAAGACCAATGGAGACTAGCTGAACAAAATACACTTTAAAACAAAGGCTGTGTCCTGGCTGGTGTGGCTCAATGGTTAGAGTGTTGGCCCTCGCATCAAGGGCACGTACCTGGGCTTAGTACCTGGGCTTTGGTTCCCTCCCCACCCCAGCTCAGGGCCTGTGCCAGAGGCAACCGGCGGCAAGCAGTTGATGTTTTGTCTCTCACATTGATGTTTCTCTCCCCCACTTCTTCCTTTCCTTCCAACACTCTAAAAATAAGTGGAAAAATGTCCTCCAGTGATGATTAACAAAAAAACAAACGCTGTAACGAGACCAAGGAGGGCAGAATATAACTCTCATAAACATCTACGCACCCAGCGTAGCAGCACCTAAATATATAAAGCAAATATTGATAGATATAAAGGTATCGACAATAATACAGCAATACTAGGGGAATTTAACGCCCCATTGGCATCAGTGGATAGATCTTCCAGACAGAAAATCACAAGGAATCAGTGGACTTGAATGACACGTTAACCCAGACGGGCCAGTCAAAAATACTACCTTTCTAAAGGAGATGGTGCACAAATCTACTAGGAATAGACAGAAAAATATAACTACATTTAAGATATTCAAGCTCTCAAACAATCCAACGTTTTATGGAATGGGCTACGGTTTTAGCAGATTCCCAGGAGTGGTTTTTGTGACCTGACAATGTTAAAAATCACGGCAGTTCAGCCTTGAACTTTCAGAAGCAGCAGTCAGATCTTACTCCCATGCGCACTTCTAGTAACAGTTTGTGGATTAAACTGGGACTTAGTAGTGGTGTGTTGAATTGTTAGTCCATGTAATACCCATTTATAATCCATTATCATCTTTCCCCACTTGAGTAAAGGAAATTTTATGAATTGATTTGTCTCTTAAACTGCTGGGGTTATAACAGTTTCCCCCAGTTGTCCTCAGTAAAGGTAATACCCAGTCCAAACATGATAAGATGAATATGGAATAAAAGAACTGACTAGAGTTCCCATACTCGGGGAAAAAAAAAAAAGAGGATATTGAGTGACCCAGATGAATCTTGACTGTTGAAATTTGAAGCAGGGTCAGTTACAAGATTAGATCAAAACCTTAGGCAATGGGATAGAAAAGACTGCTGTAGGTACAAAGCCTTCTGTCTGTCTCCTAAGAGAGTCAGACCTTGAGGGGACAGCTTTGGTTTGGCTGCAGAGGAGTTTTACCATTTTTAGGCAGGAGCACGTGGGAGGTCTGGTACCTAGATGTCTAGGAGGAAGCTGTGGAAAGTGGGTGAGGCTTGGTAGAAAGGGGTGAGAGAAGGCCAAATGCAGACAACCTGGTTACAATTTTTTTAAAGGTGTCATAATCAGGCTGTGAGTATTTAGG